GCAGGGCTAACCGGACCTTATCGTGCATCCACAGATGCATCTCGAGTAGGGCCAAGGAAGTGATCCTCCCCCTCTACACGACACTGGTCAGGCCGCAGCTGGAGTACTGTGTCCAGTTCTGGGCACCCCACTTCAAGAGGGATATGGACAACATTGAGAGGGTCCAGAGGAGGGCCACCCACATGATCTGGGGACAGCAGGGCAGACCCTACAATGAGAGGCTACGGGACTGAACCTGTTCAGCCTTCACAAGAGAAAGCTGAGGGGGGACCTTGTGACTGTGTATAAACTCACTAGGGGGGACCAGAAGGGTTTGGGGGAGACCTTGTTTCCCCTAGCGCCCCCCGGGATAACAAGGAATAACGGTCACAAGTTGTTGGAGAGTAGGTTTAGATTGGACATCCGTAAGAACTACTTCACAGTTAGGGCGGCTAGGACCTGGAACCAACTTCCAAGGGAAGTGATGCTGGCTCCTGCCCTGGGGGTTGTTAAGCAGCAGCTTGATACCTACCTGGCCGGGGTCATTTGAGCCCAGTTTTCCTCCTGCCCAGGCAGGGGGTTGGACTTGAAGATCTACAAGGTCCCTTCTGACCCTACTTCTATGATTCTATGATCATCTTCTATATTTATTTCCTGCAATTTGAATAAAATAATTGGGACCTTCTCATTTATCTTCTTTTTGTAGATTCAGGATGAAGAAGGATATTTTTGTTCTTTTGATACTCTGGCAAATATTGGTCCAAATTACCGAATTGAAGACACTAAGAAGCCAAGTTGGTGTAAAAATATCTGTTGTCTCATTGAAAAATCCATCTGCTTGATTGACATAAGTGAGAAAAGGGAAAAATTATCATTCTGGATTAGAGTGTAAACTAGATGCCCTATTTCCAGTTGTAAAATTGCCCTCAAGTAAAGTATATACTTGATAGCTTTTTCCAAACATATAAAGCTGAAAAACCAACAAATGCATCAATTCAGAGAAATGCAAAAAATGTTCAGTTGCATTATATTATATTATATTGAAAGGGATATTGGTATGCTGTACACTTGTAATATGGGATAGGAAATGAAACAGAATGTTTTCCCTCATGAGTATACTTCATTCTGTTCTGTGTTCAGTGGTTTATATAGAAAGTCATAGCAAAAAAATTTTTGTCTGTCTAATTTTTTTCCAAACAGTTTTCAACTTAATTTTCCCTGGTCAAATTATAATTAATGTTCTATGTTTTACTCTCCCTTCTTTATCCCTTTTTCTTTCACTTAGTTGATTTCTGAATGTTTCCCTTTATTCCTGTGATCTTTTCTTCATAGCGGCACTGTCTCGGTGAAGCTTTGCATAAATCTATCAGCAATGTAAGTGAGTTGCACTTACAATTTGTACACAAAGGGCATGCTTGCACCTATAAACTTGCATACCTTTCTATGTTGCTTTAAAGCTTTAGCCTGTGAAGATAAATATGTGACAATATTGGAGGGAAGGAAATGTAAGCATCTGGTTAACAAAAGCTTCTATAACTGCATTCATTCATCTGTGGAAGTGTGCATACCATTTGACATCTAACACTACATGGCCTTAATATATGCAGCATTTTATGTGATGTTAAGCAAGCTTGCAAGCAATACATTTGCGCATTGTAAAGCTTTCTATGAAGCATGAAATTAATGACGCTGTATTACAGTTTGCAATTCATAATACAAATCTTAATTGTTTAAATATTACTATATTTCTTTCTATTTTAGCTATCAACTTTTGTAATCTTTTGAAAGACCTAGATTGGGGCGGTCCATTTTCTGGGCAGCAGGGGACAAAATGCCTCATGGGCTGCAGTCCCAGGGGCCTCTAGCTATGTAGGTGTCCCCCCTCCCCCACCCCGGCTCTCCCCCACCATATGGGCAACACAGTGCACCCTCCCCCCACCCCATCACACACAGCACAG